ACAAGTTTCTCTGCGGATTCGGGCTCCTCTCAGCGAGCGCACTCCAACCCCATCTTCAAAAAAAAAATAAAAAAAATCCTGGGATGTTTTTTGGCTCGTCTGGTTTTGCCGGATGGACCCCCCCCCCGTCCGTCCGGCCCGGTCCGTCTGGGCCGGACATCGGCCTAACCCAGGTAAAATCATTCCACAAGCGATACATAGAGTGAAGGCGCTTGAGAGGGTTCCGATGAGACAGTCGCTCACATCCCCAGCATGTTATTTATCATTTTTCCCCTTTCCATCTAAAGGTTCCCCAGTTGGTTGTCTGTGACAAATGAATAAGTGCAATTATTTAAATAGATGAGCAAGTCCTTCGGGATAACCGTTAAAATTGGAATGATACAAGAGAGTAGATTAGCATGGCCCCTGCGCAAGGGTGGCACGCATTCTCTTTTTTGCAAGGAATAAAAAATAATAATAAAAAAAGATAAGCAAACATCAGGGCACAAATTAAACTGGCATAGGCTACAAAATTCATGCACAGGCAAAGGTGATTGTGCGGGCTCACAATGTCATGGTTAGCAAGGGAGGAGAAAGCAGGAAAAAGACACAGGCAGGGAAAAGACACAGGCAACTTGTCTTTTTCAGGGCAAAGCACGAGCATAGAGTTCGCATGAACTGCTGGGCCATTCAGATTTCAGTCCATGAAAAATACCAGTTTTTCTTTTTTTTTTAAGAAAGAAAGGGCAACTGCAAGGAAAATGAACAGAAGCTAGATGACAATATTCAGATTAGACAATCACATTGAAAGCCAAATCGTAACACAGTGTTCAGAAAGTAGCATTGCACCAATATGACACAAATGGAGAACAGTAGCACTGAAAGCCAATGTCAATGAGAGCTTGCTCTCGCCACCACCAACATATGTATATGCAACTGTTGACGTTAGCAGCCTCCGAAGTACTTGAAGATGTCGCACATGCAGACCATCGCCAATACCAGGTATGTGCCCTCACATCATCATCATCATCATCCTTCTCTCTCTCTCCCTCGTCTTACACCCAGGTCTTCCTTCTGTGTATACCCGAAGACCACCCCTGGGCCTCACTGTACATCCAAGCCCTGCCAGCTATAGAGGCTGGGCTATGGCGCTCCCCTCAGCAGCGCCCTGCTCCCTGCACGACCGCACGTGCTCAAACCTCACCTCTCAGCGCTAGCAGCAGCCCGTGAGCTTCAGCTCCAGCAGTGCTACCGCCAGCAGGCGAGTGCCCGAATATCTGGCCAGGCAGCTAGCTCCTTCCTATATGGAAAGAGCCTGCCTCATTTGGCAACCTGGCTGGACTGGCCTGGGCCCAGAAGCTTCCAGTAGGCCCCAGGATGCTGCGCCTCTGGTGCAGCTACTGGGCCTCATTCGGTTGGGCCTCCCAACTGTCTGTGTATGAGGCTGCGAAACTCGCCCAGGGCCTGTGCTTTCGGAAAGGCCTAGAAGGCCTGGGAATTTCCACGCTGCTAGGCCTGTGTTTTCCTCCAACCAACTGGCGCGACGAAACTGCCTGGACTCCAAATACAAAATTGACAGCCAAAGGCCTCTCGTAATTTGTTAGGCCCGCCTTCACTTAGGGCGGGCACATTTGCTGCAGGGGCCCCTTAGGCCTGCCGAGGACACACCGGCCTTGACATATCATCATTGAGCTGACCGGCCCCAGGTAATTGAAGTAATTCAGAATTATTTTATTCTGGCCATTTGATTGTATCTGGATTTAAACTTGGGTCTGGATTCCTACAGTTTGTGGGTGTACTAACTGAGCTAGGCCTGTCGGTACCAGTTTTTTTTTTTTTTTAAATTGCCCCGTCTGTTCTGAGTCATTTGCTCATCTCAGATCACCGGGATTTGAACTGATGTCTGTATTCCAACAGTTCACGAATGTACCAACCGTACTTGCGGCACTTCTGCGGTGCAGCAAGCACCATGCCATGCGTAAATTAGTGATGCCCCACAGATGCGCTCTTTTAGGGGGGTGTGGAGAGAGAGAGAGAGAGAGAGAGAGAGAGAGAGAGAGAGAGAGAGAGAGAGAGAGAGAGAGAGAGAGAGAGAGAGAGAGAGAGAG